GGTACATTCAGTACCCTTCTCCAGCACCACAGCTCAAAAGCATCCACTCTCCTTTTGTCCTCCCTAGTCATTGTCCAACTCTCTGATGCAAAACAGTTTAGCTGCATTTAAAGAGAAAATACAAGGCCTTTGTTTCAAGCTACTTACACAGTATGTATTCTACTGAACTTCACAAGGTGAAAATAACTGAGAATTGGACGTGCCCTGTCTGAAGAAGAGAAAATCACAATAGACCTTTGGAACAAAGGGGGTCGGCACTGTGGCCTACGGGTGACTACCACTAACCGGGGGGCACTCCTCGCCCCCAGAATAAGAGACCACATCAGGCTGCAGGGCAGCACTTATCCTCGGGTAAGGCCCAGGGTGCAAGGTGGGCTGGGCAAGGACGATTAATGCAATGGAGAATCAGACTCAAAAGGGAAGAGTCAGATTACAATGTGGGTGTTGTAATTAATGTCCTCAAACAAAATATGCATTCATTCATGGTTAAACGGAAAACTAATTTACTGAGTAACCAGTCACTCAAATCACAATGAGGGAAAAAAAGGAATTTCTATCAGTTTCACAGTGCTACCACTGTGCTTTCTTGACTCCTAAATGCTCAATTAATGCTCTCTGAATTTAACTGGCCAGTATGAATTACATGCACACTATCTTCATACTGTGTGTATAATATACACTATACACAATTATATATATGTTATATATTAACACAGACACACATACTCTCTTTAAAATATTGTTACATAGTTCTAGAATTAATAACTCTTCTATTGACTAGTGAGCTCTGGTGGCTTAGTGGTAAGGAGCTGGCTGGCAACCCTGGGGCAGGCAGTTCAAATCCACGAGCTGCTCCACAGGACTAAGATGGGCAATCTCCTCCCACGTGATTTACTGCTCAGGAAACTCTCTGGAGGGTCAGTTACGAGTAGGTTCTGATGGCAAGAAGAGTGAGTGAGGGAGTGAGTGATTACACTGAACGTGGTTAATAAAGAACAAACTCAAAGGTAAAGGGTTTCTCAATGTCCACATACTCTAGAATTTACAATGTACCTGAAGTTTGTGCCTTTACTGTTAATCTTTTTATTCCTTGCACTATTTAAGTGATTTTCAGTATTTAACAGTTTATAAAGGTACTCTATTCATTTGTCAAAGCAATCACTAGAAAAGATATAAGGCAAAATAATTAATTTTATTTCTTCAATGCCTACATATTTACAATCATAGAACTTTTCATGCATTAGATAACTTAAAGACACCAGACTTTCACATATTTTTACAAATTAAAGACATTAGGCAAATTTAATCCAAGTGCTTGTGAAGAGATTAATGGCTGATCAGAAAATATCAAATTACTATTTTTAGCTCAAGATTTTTACCACAGTCATGATGAGTATTGAATTATGAACACCATCATTTTTAAAATTTCACATTGGGGCAGTAAGACTTTACGCCAATCATTAAGACTTTAGTCATATATGGAAAGGAGATTTTAATTGGAGATGTTATTGTGGTCTAGAGCATAAAGATCTATTTTCATGAGGTATACATGATGGACAGCCAGAAAATGAAAAGAATACGAGCACAGGGGAAGGGAACTGCCAACAACGCATGCACAGAATCAACAGACGTCAGGCCACGGCGAGTCCTTCATCACCGCCAGCATTCCGCGCATTCTCGGGTGCTCAAAGGTCACTGAATTTTATAATTATCTCCAACCCATTCTCTTCATGGTCATCTAGGCTTTGTCTAAACAGCTGCGCGTGTTGCCAAGCAACATCCCCATCTCCTCTGCTTAATTCTGCTTCCAAAATAACTTCAGTGACACCAAAAAAATCATGATAGCAGTGCAGCTTTTTATCTGTGGAATGAGAGAGAAAGAGACAGAGAGAGAGAGGGGTGTGGGGGGGGAAGGACATTTTGCTTTTGGTAATGTAGAGAGAACAAAGAGTTTTGCACTGTATTTTAGATTTCTGACTTATATGTGAAAACCAAGCTGACTAAAATGAACATAAATGATTCTTTTTGGAGGAAATCTGTGAGTGAGAGAGAGAGGGAGGGAGGGAGGGAGGGAGGAAAGGAAGGAG